GCAGAATCACTCTTGCCAACAAGTGCTACTTTGGACTGAGTAGGCAATTCAGGAGTAAAGTCCTCTCCCGACGTACGAAAACCACGCTCTATAAGTCACTCATCATGCTCGTGCTGGTATATGGCGCAGAAGCATGGACAATGACAACATCCGATGAGGCGGCTCTTGGAGTGTTTGAGAGAAAGATTTTGCGGAAGATTTACGGGCCTTTACGCGTTGGCGACGGCGAGTACCGCAGACGATGGAACGATGAGCTGTATGAGCTTTACAACGATATGGACATAGTGCAGCGAATTAAAATACAGCAGCTCCGCTGGCTTGGTTATGTCGTTCGAATGGACACCGACGCTCTAGCTCTGAAAGTATTCAACTCGGAACCCGCTGGTGGTAGCAGAGGAAGAGGGAGGCGATGGAAAGATCAGGTGGAGAAGGACTTGACTTCACTTGGCGTTTCCAATTGGCGTCAGTTGGCACAGAGGAGAAACGACTGGTGTGCTTTGCTGAACTCGGCTTAGGCGGTTACAGCGCCAAAGAAGAAGAAGAACGCCCACTTATGATCACATATATGTATCTCGGTAACCGTTATACCAATTTGTACCAAACTCGGCACATAAAATCAAAATGTTGAGAATTATTGAGATCGGACTAACATTACGGTCACTTTTCATATAACGGTAAATTGCAGGAAACCTTGAAACTACGATATCTCGAAATTTAAGGACGCTAATTCACTCAAAATTGACACTAACAACAATCCCCTGAAAATAAGTAAGATTATTTGGAATTTTGGAAAATAGGCGTCATACCGCCCACATATGACTTTATATGTTTATCTGATTATTTCTTACTGAACGTTCTATCGAAGATGTTTAAAATAGGCGCAAAACCAACCCTGCCATTTGAGCCGTTTTCCGGCTAGATTCAGCCGGTTGCGATTGCAAACAGCCGGAGAAATTTCGATTTAGCGGGCAGCAGATTTGTTAACCGTTTTGTAAAAAAGAATTAGCCGTTTTAGCCGATTTAGCTATTTGCCTTGTTTTCTTAAAATTCAAATATCTACATATCGTCGTTTAAAGTACAAAACCGCGTATCGTCATTCTGCAAAACCGCGTAACTGACATTGGCTGCCATAAATTGGATTTGCTCACACAAGCTCTTGGTTCAATCCTTATCCATTCGTCCTGAAATATACTAGGCAGAATTGCGATTGCTTTTAAAAAAGGGAACCATTTTGAAATATGAGTGTTTTTACGCTCTAGAAAATAATTTCTACAACTTGACATACGCGGTTTTGCATTTTGCTGATACGCGGTTTTGCATTTTGTTGATACGCGGTTTTGCACTTTGAACGATGATATATATGTTTCCATTTTTGACTAAGCTACCCAAAACTACTAGAAATGGCTACTAGCCTTATCGCGGAGAAAATTTTCATGTCAGGTAGGATTATATAAAATTGGGCCGACTTCGCTTATTTTTATTTTAAACGAATATATTTTTTGTAAAGAACGCCATAGCTTTGTCCAATTTCAAAAATATTCAAAACGGTACTTAAGGAGGCTAAGCACAATGAGTATACCAAATTTGGTCGAGAGCCTTCAAGGGGTTTTTGAGATACGCATATATCACATAAGTGGGCGGTGTCACCCCCATTTTCCTAAAATTTCTTGAAAACCCACTTCTTTGCTAAAGAGCGATTGCATATATAAATTTTTAATAAATATTGATGAATTCCTTGCCACACTGCTCAAAACATCTGATAGTCCGGTACATAAGCAATATAAATTCAAGGCCGTATTTAAGAAAAGTCGCCTAACTTCGCCAATTTTTATGCGATTGCAATAAATGAGCCATCAGTTTATTTAAAAAAAGATTTAGTTTAAATAGGACTACATATTTTGAAATTGTGGATATCATCGATGGTCTAAATTTAAAGAAATATGGGTTATTTTTAATTTACCCGATAAAAAATCCCAACAAGCCAAGTCCGACAATATATTATTTATTATACACCATTTTAAAGGCCTACACCTATATTTTCTTCTCAGATCATATTCGATCTTTGAAATCGAATCAAAAATTGTCATTCAAAACCCCATAAATCTACAAAATCGTATTTTCTGACCTAAATCGACAGGTCGCGACCTCTAAATGACCTTTAAAAATCTGTTTTTCATGGCAGAAATACACTCGGAGGTTTGCCATTGCCTGCCGAGGGGCGACCGCTGTTAAGAAAAAACATTTTTTCCAAACTTTGATGCTTTGACCAGAGCTTGAACCCAGGCGCTGCGGAGTGGAAGAGCGCACTGCTTACCACTACATCACAGCGGCCGCCCAATAAGCAATAATAATTCTCATAAAAACAAATAAAATTAGGGGGTAGGGCTTTGAAGTTTCCAAAAAATTTTTACTTTAATGTACACATAGGTTTTTTTTTTAACAAACTTTTTGGCTGAGAACTTGCTTAAATTCCAAAACCCGAAGGCCAACTTGAATTAAAAGAACCAGCCCTGAAATGCGTCAAAATGAAAATAAAAGAGCACAAATTTCTATGTAAAGCAAAACTCTCTGGGAAGACAATAGGTTTGTTTGTCGAAAATCCAGCGAGAATTATCACTCAAAATATCAGATAGTAAGAGAAAATGCTCCCAAATTCTCTCTCAAGTAGAGAAGCTTGGAAATTTCTGCACGAACGCGAATTTGCAGGAATTTGCAAGTTCTTCTGCCAGCTAGTGTCCTCGGTTGCATTTCAAACATAAGAAATTTGTATAGGCATTTTAAAAAACTTCCAGAGGGGCAAAAAACGGGGTATACATGTATATTTCTAGTTAGTCCAACATTCTTCAATACACGTTTCAATTTCTTTACCGTAACGTCAATTTCTTTAACGTAACTGTCGGGTTTCCTATATCGACTCTGGTTGAGATTGCATTCCGATTACGAATACAGTTTTTTCAGCTGAGTACCTTTCAAATAATTGTTATTAACTAAATTAGGCTTTCTACTTGTGATTTATTTAAATAAAACATGTGAAATTTCGTTGGAATAGTTAGCCGTTTTTAGCCGGTTTTTTTGCCATTTTAGCCGGTTGGTCCAAAAAGTTGTGGCAACACTGCTTACCATGTAATGGTAGTTTTCGGAAAGGTGAAAAACTATATTTCGAGCCCTAACCGCCAAAATAACGTAAGCGACATTTTTTTCGAAATTTTCTTTTTGATGCAGAAATGTATCTAGATGCTCTAGGAATATTTCTGCATCAAAAAGAAAATTTTGAAAAAAATTTCGCTTACGTTATTTTGGCGGTTAGGGCTCGATTTCATACTTGCGCCGGGTATTTAATGTTCGGCTCCGCCCGAACTTAGACTTTCTTACTTGTTTAATCTAAAGTTGTTTCCAAAAATTTCTCTAAATCTCTTTCAGCTGACAACTCAGGTTAATTAAAATCAAGAAGTCTTACCCCTCTCCACTCGGAATCAAAATCCCGAATTTCATCCACTTTAAGATTTGGGAAATATGTAAAAAGATTTATAACTGAAGCATCTTTTAATAACATTTTTAGGCGATATCATTTCAACACCTTTTAAGGTTTTACTACTGAAATCACAATAGCACACAAAAAATTTTTAGGCGATATCATTTCAACACCTTTTAAGGTTTTACTACTGGAATCACAATAGCACACAAAAAATGTTGCTTATTAAAAAATCTTTTTTTTTAAATCTACACTTATGACAACGCTGCTTGCAAGGCGAATTAAAACAAGATCGTATTATCCAATCAGCGGATTTCTTCTTCTTTCATTCGCTTTAAATGAATTTTGCTTTTGCTTTTACTGATTTGACAGCACACCCATGAAACGAAAAGACAAAATACATGTAAACTTGGGGGCGAATTAAGATTTTCACATAACAATAAATTCGCTATGGCTGCTTGCAGTGCGCAACTCTCACCACTCGGCAAAGAACGTAAATCTATAAGAAGAGAAAAAACATTAGAGGTATTCATCTAAACCGATAACTTTATCAAGCAGATAATCTTATAAGTTTATGCACTCTGTTACATGAACGACCCACACTCTCTTTTCGTTTACACATGCGACAATAGTCGTGTTTTCTTTGGTTATAAAGCGCAGTGTCACTAACTTTATACTACTAGCACGGGGATAAAGAAATTATAGAAACTACCTCACTATATTGGAAAAAATTATATTTACGAGATATCTATTTAAATAAATGTACATATAACATAAAGGCTATTTATTTGAAGCAAGTTATAAGAAACAATGGCGGAATGTCTGTTTGTGTATGAATTCATTTGTCACGGCTACCAAACTTT